AAAGTAAAGAGAAAGCAAATAAAGGTAACGTAACGACAAAGAAAAGAAAGAAAGGCTTTGTGGCACACCGGAGGGAAAACAAAACCCAACTAACGGCGACTTGTTTACTTCCTCCCAGGTGGCAGCTACTTCGGGAAGAATGTTGCCCCCTTGTAGCCCGCCGCATCACCACCAGGGTATTTATCTTGTGTTATCTTAGTGATTCACGGTCAACACTCACTTTGGTCTTAGCTGTTCTTTTATTTTTTATTTTTCTCCTTTTGTGGTCCAGGTTCTGTAGCCAAACACATCCATTTTCATCTTGGTTGATCATTTTCCCCTATTCCCATGTTTTGCCCAGACTGTTTTCAGAATAATGTTTAAAGCAGACAGCCAGTCGATTTTGCCATCTAGTTGACGTGCTGAAGTGGGTTAAAGATTTGTGCAGTAAGCTCCCTGCCATCTTAATCTTGAAGCAGAAATTCACCTTAAGGTACAGTACATTTGATTCAGAAGTCACTTCAAATTACTTACCATTACAAGTTTTCTAATAGTTTGTTCCATTTCAGGAAATTGTTTGTTGGTGGCCTCAGTTGGGAGACGACTGAAAGTAAGTAATGCTGCAGTTAACAGCTATTGTCATGTCTAACGTGTGAAATACTGCTATATACTCATGATGATCATTTCAGTTCTGCTTCTGAGTAACAAGAAGACATCTTACCACATACTGAGGCTGTATATTCTAGATCTTATGAAAGGTACATGTTAACTTGTACTAATGTGTGTTTTCCCCCCTTTTCAGAGGAACTTAGAGAACATTTCAGCAAATATGGTGACATTGAAAGCATTAATGTCAAGACAGACCCCAACACTGGAAGATCTAGAGGCTTCGCCTTCATTGTATTTAACACCTCAGATGCTATTGATAAGGTAAGTTCGTTATTTATGTTGGCCAGGATAATTGTAAATTACCCATTTTGCAATGTATTAAGATTTATCTTAGGAAATATTTGGCAAGTAGGAAGAAAAGTATGACAAAATGTTCAATAGGTTTATACCTTCTGCATTGGCATTAAAGTTCTCATTAGCCTTTCCTTATGAATTGGTGGTGTAGGGCCTTTGCAAGATAAGCTATAATTTTAGAAACCACCTTCAGAGTTTCCCCCACTTAGTTTTGCATTTCCTGCTTCAGGTTATCAATGCTGGAGACCACGTCATTAATGGCAAGAAGGTCGACCCCAAGAAAGCCAAAGCACGCCATGGCAAGATCTTTGTTGGTGGCCTGAAGCCCGAGCTCACAGACGACGAGATCAAGAACTTTTTCAACCAGTTCGGTAACATCGTCGAAGTTGAAATGCCTTTCGACAAGACCAAGAACCAGCGCAAGGGCTTCTGCTTCATCACCTTCGAACAGGAATCTGTTGTCACAGAGTTGTTGAAGACCCCCAAACAGAGCATCAGCGGCCATGAAGTTGATGTTAAGAAGGCCACTCCCAAGCCTGATGCCATGGGCATGATGCGAGGCGGCATGCGCGGGGGTATGAGAGGGCGCGGTGGCGGCATGCGTGGCCGAGGAAGAGGCTGGGGCAACAACTGGGGTCAAGGAGGCTACAACTATGGCCAGGGCGGCTATGGTGGTGGATATGGTGGATACGGTGAGTTTTACTATTCTGTGCCTTAATATATTTTGAGACCGCGAAGTTCAAGATTTGTCTTAAGGTTTCCCATACTGAAATGTTCAGAAGTGGGATTGTGGTATGTGGAACCTTAAGAAAATCTGAACCAAGACCCCTAGCCACTATTCGTCCGCCTGTTGTGTTCTTAGTTGAATCTTAGTATGAAAAGGGGGGGCGAGTCCAAAAAAAAAGAAAGGAACGTAGTCTTACGTGCTTCTCCGCACTTTCAGGTGGCTACGACTACGGTTATGGTGGTTATGGGGGATATGGTGGTTATGGCTATGGCAATGATTACTATGGCTATGGCGGTGGAGGCTATTCGGGTAACTATGGTAAGTATCAGGCTCTTGATTGTGTATAGATATTGTGAAACAAATGGCGAATTGCATGAGTGAATTGAGCGGTAGGCCAAATAAATGATTATAAATTTGTATAATTTTTAATTTTTTCTAATGCATACCTAGTCCTATGCATGTCCGCCCCAAGAATTCAGGATGGTTGAGTATAGAAAAAATCATATTTGGGGGGCAACTTTTACTATTAGTGTTCAACGAGACTGATTATTTATGGCGGTGTTGGCCCTTACCAGGCGGCCAAGGGTACGATGGGAAGAGCCAGCGTGGGCGGCAACAGGCGAGGCACCAGCCATACTGAGGGACGCCGGAACTACGAACACAACACGTGGAACGGCACAGAGTACTAAGACAAAAGTGCTGACTACCGCTGCTGCACAAGTCCTCGATGCTGCTGCTGCTGCTACAACTGTTGCCGCTGCCGCCTCTGGAATGCAGCTGAGCCCGTGTCCTCAAGTTGCCACTTAATTGTATACTCAAAATATTTATAAAAACTGGAAAATATAAAAAAGTGATGCATGTCACACACAAAAAAATGTATAGTTCTTATGAAGCATTCCTGTGTACAGGGCATTTCGCTGTACTCTGGACAGTTCATACAAATATTTTTTACTTAATTTTAAGATTTTATTTCTGGCTGTACAGTCCGTACATGTATGAATAAATGCGATTTTTTGTGTAACAAATGTTTCATTTGTTAGTACCTGCATATTTAAGAAAGCTTAGCAGTCACAAGAAAAAATTATTCATATGGACTAAACATTTAAAAATGCGAAGAACATGTGGCCTTACAATTTGACCAAAGAAATAAAGCATCGCTAGAACTTGAATTCTGAAGGGGATGAAACAAACACAAAAAGGAGAATACACGTTGCCTATGAAGTTGCCAAACGTGCATAACCGATCAATAAACTTGTATACAATGAGTACCGGCAGACCAATACAGTCGAAATCTAATGTAGCCTTTCCATTTAGTTCTTGTAGTTTACCCTTTTGTAAGGAATGTTGCCGAAATGGTTCAATTATACTACACTTAAATCATTTGTAAACTGACAAGGGAATATACAACTGAATTGTATGAGGCCGTAATATAAGAAGTAAAAATTATCAGCTTCATTTTGTTGATGGTTAACCAACAGGGATACATAGAGGCTCGACCTAATAAATATTTAGCTGGGGAAAAAAAAAACCGATTGACTACAAACCCACTTGGATACGCCCACATGCATCTGCATCTGCTCACCTACACGCATGCACGCACAAATATACATGTACACATATACGCGCGTGCACCCTTACGTATTTTCACATGCGCGTGCATACATTTTCATATGCGCGCGCGTACATTCACAAGGGAGCACGCATATATTCACATGCACATCCCTACACACACACAAGTACACACTCATTGCTGTGTATTCATGTCCTTATGTATGCATATTCACTGGAGAAGCTCCTTAATTTTAAGAAAACGGTTTTGTTTGTGCTTACTGTACGACATATTACTAACTTCCACCTTTTCATCGTGATAACGGAAAGCCTGATGTCTATCTGTAATAGATTGCACTTCATCCTATCACTTCGTTTTACGAAGCTTGCCTCTTGCTTATGTAAACCTCAACTGAAGATCAAGTTTTGTTGCATTTAGCACGTGTCACTTTGGGGGTTATGTGCGCACTTTCAGATGAATACTAAACAGTATATGGTGTATCTTAGTTGTTACGCAGCTTCCTCTTCTGATTAAAATGGATTAATAATGCCTTTGAAATGTTATTTTTTCGTTGGTAGTCTGAACTGAAGAAAAAATCAAACAAGTTTGTGCTGTTTGCTCATTAACTAGAATCCTAGATATGTAGTGTATGCGTTAGCACCCTGCTAGAATAAAAATGCCATGGCAACACGGGATTAGGATTACTTCTTGATAGTGTCATCGAGGGACGGATTGGTGATAGTATGATAACCACAAGATAATCTACGGTCTACGGAAATTAGATAGCCAACGGCAAGGTATAATAGACCTGTATCAAAGACCTATGACAGAACAAAACCCGAGAGAAAAGGATAAGAAAAAGACGAATGCCACATCGCATCACCATAAGCCGACTGATACCTGGGAAATGTCACATGGCTTAACAGATGGGATATGCCGCTGCCAATACGCCTTTATGATGAGGGCTTCAGCTCAAGGTTTCCGAAGTATTGTAATTCACTGATATTTGTGTTTTCGCTGATCATGATCGCTTCAGACAATACACCATGTACGTGTGTGTAGCATGTATGTGGTTCTCTTTGTCGCAATCGAGATTCAGGATAAGAGTTAGGAACTAGTATATACCAAAAGCTCATTTTATTTACTGATTTGTTTCGGATTTCGGATAGAAAGTGGAACTTTTGTCATATGAAAGAAAAAAAATCAGAAGGAAATGCTTTAAAGTGTTGTTTAGTTTAAAAAAATAACCATTTGAAATTATATTCTTTATTTTTTCCATCCATAATGTTTTCTGAAAAAGGCCAAATCTTATTCATAATCCATGACCTAAAAATCAGCTTATTTAAATCTGTGATTTCTTTTACATTAGGTACATACATCCCGCTTGAGAAATGTCAAACTTTATATTGTAAATTCACATCCTTTGGTGTCAAACTTCATAAAACTCTTACAAGCTCTGTAACTTTTGGTTACTAATGCCAGTCCTAAGACAAATAAACAAAAACAACATTTAAAAAAACGTCGAAAAGAAATGCATCTCCATGTATAAGAGGCAAGAACACATTGAACTAAAATAAACAAAGTAACAACTACCACGCAGCAAGGTCAAACCACACGAGGATAACTTTACTTTGGCGTTTGTTGTAAATCGATGTTGAAGGTAGAGGAGGGGGGAGGGTGTTCTATCCCCATTTCCGTCCTCCCCTCCCCTCCTTTTCCCTCTTTTTTCTTACTCCCCCCCACACCATCCTCCTGCCCCCTCCCTCCCCTTCTCTAGCACAATCTCACTGCGACGCATGGATTATACACCACGCACTCACGCACATACATTCTTGTGTCATGAAAACAAGTACTTGCTCGGCTCGGCACCTGACACTCCTATCCCAGCCAGGTGTGAGTGTCACGATATTTGAAAAAAATATATATGCCTATGACTGGTAACAGTAAATAATTTCTTGAATGACAGGAAGCAGAAAATGGTAATGATATAATTATTGACATGTATGATAATGACGATCAAAGACCATCGAAATGGAAGTAGGGTATTGAAGAAGATAACTATTGTGCTCAGAGGAATGCAATAACGCTCCACATTAGGGATATTAAACAATGGCCTCAGAGGCGAAAATGCTAGTACATGTGTGAGTAGTTGATACCCTTACTAATATTGGTGACTCTGAAAGTGCTGAAATAGGTAATCAAACCTTAATATGTTTTGATTAGTCACAGCCAGTGCCCATAGCAACAAATAGTACATGTTTACAGTGACATGAACGGTAATATTGAACAGTGGTAATGTTTGACTTTTTTCCAGTAGCAGAACTACTAGCCGGTAACTGGAATTCCCAATTGCTACTATTTCTGGCGTGAATTTCCGGTACCAATCGATCTTCGTGTCACGGGGGCAAACGTAAAATCTGAAATATATAACATATGATATATTCTAAGTAGTACAAATTTATAACAATTATTCACACTGATTTTATCTCAGAATACAGATAAAAGCTGATTATGATGGTAGTGATGATGATGACCGTGATAATAAAAAATAATGAAAAGCATACTACAACTACGGTTATATATTCTAACGGAAACCCAATAACGTTTATAAAACAATAATAACCCAAATAACGTTAGGATAATAATGATAATGACAGTGAAAGAAACCCACCTTCACACGAATCGCCACGCCGAAGCTCCACTGCCGTCGATGGCACGAGAGCGCCCGCAGCGCCTGCAGGATCAACACCTCCATGGGCCCGCCGCGCTGGTAAAGGAACCTGCTGGTCGATGAATCCTGACGGAGGGTTTTGGTGATGATGGTACTGATGGGAGGGCGTTGATCCTGTGGGATTGGGAGGAAGGGCGAGGCTGCAGGTGGGTGCGAGGGCGGCGGACGCAGGACCCAGCGGCGCCGCGTGTATCGGCAACGGGCCTCCGCCGCCGCCTGTTTCCTGGAATTCGTTCGGACACTGGAAGACATCGGGAAAGATTGCTGGTGTTGAGAGAGAGAGAGAGAGAGAGAGAGAGAGGAGAGAGAGAGAGAGAGAGAGAGAGAGAGAGAGAGAGAGAGAGAGGGGGGGGGGGGGGGGAGGGGAGGAGAGAGAGAGAGAGAGAGAGAGAGAGAGAGAGAGAGAGAGAGAGAGAGAGAGAGAGAGAGAGAGAGAGAGAGAGAGAGAGAGAGAGAGAGAGAGAGAGAGAGAGAGGGAGGAAGAGAGAGGAGAGAGAGAGAGAGAGAGAGAGAGAGAGAGAGAGAGAGAGAGAGAGAGAGAGGAGAGAGAGAGAGAGAGAGAGAGAGAGAGAGAGAGAGAGAGAGAGAGAGAGAGAGAGAGAGAGAGAGAGGGGGGGGGGAGGGAGGAGAGAGAGAGAGAGAGAGAGAGAGAGAGAGAGAGAGGGAGGAAGAGAGAGGAGAGAGAGAGAGAGAGAGAGAGACAGAGAGAGAGAGAGAGAGAGAGAGGGAGAGAGAGAGAGAGAGAGAGAGAGAGAGAGAGAGAGAGAGAGAGAGAGAGAGAGAGAGAGAGAGAGGGAAAGAGAGAAAGAGAGATAGGAGATAGGTAGATAGATAGATAGATAGAGGGAGATAGGAGAGAGAGAGAGAAAGAGAAAGAGAGAGAGAGATAGGGGATAGAGAGAGTGAGGAGAGAGAAAGGAGAGAGAGAGAGAGAAAGGAAAGAGAGAGAGAGAGAGAAAGAAGAGAGAGAGAGAGAGACAGAGAGAGGCAGAGACAGAGACAGAGAGAGAGAGACAGAGAGAGAGAGAGATAGGAGAGAGAGAGAGAGAGAGAGAGAGAGAGAGAGAGAGAGAGAGAGAGAGAGAGAGAGAGAGAGAGAGAGAGAATGGAGGAAAGGAAGTAGGGAGTGTGGCCAGTTACATTATAATATGCACCGAAATCGGACAATGAAGATATTACACCACTTTACAATAAACAAGCAAATGAACAAACAGAAACATCAAGAAGTTGCACTTGCTTGACAAAGAGTGTTCAGGATGTGCTTTCACGCCACAGAAACAGTTCTAGTCATGTTTCGTGGGAGTGGACAATGGCCGGGAGATGGGATGTGGAAATACAAGTTTCCGGGGGAGTGGTATGAGGGGTAGGGGGGGAGGGGAGAGTGGTGATCCAGCGGCTAGAGAAATGAGCATAATAAAAGGAAAAAATTGAAGAGACAATAGGAAAACGGAGATAATTCTCTCTCTCACACACACATGCACAGGCGCGTGTCCAATGTGGTGTGCACGAAATCCGAACGGCATCCATACCATATCCAGGGGCGTCGAGAATCTGATTTCCCCCCCTCAAGGTCTGGCTTTCCATCCCCTCCCCCAAGGTCCACACTCCCATGATTTTTGAGAGAGAGAGAGAGAGAGAAGAGAGAGAGAGAGAGGGCGAGAAGAGCAGGGAGAGGAGAGGAGAGAGAAGAAAGGAGGAGGAGGGAGGAGGAGAGAGAGGTAGAGGGAGAGAAGAAGAGAGAGAGAGAGAGAGCTAGGAGAGACATGTGGGAGTGGAGGTGAGGAGAGGAGAAGAGATAGAGAGAGAGAGAGATGGAAAGAGAGAGAGAGAGAGAGAGAGAGGATGAAGAGAGAAGAAAGAGAGAGAGAGGAGAGGAGGAGAGAGTGGGGGGAGGAGAGAGAGGGAGATGAGAGAGAGAGAGAGAAGAGAGACGAAGAGAGAGAGAGAGAGAGAGAGGAGAGAGAGAGGAGAGAGAGGAGAGAGAGAGAGAGAGAGAGAGAGGAGAGAAGAGAGAGAGAGAGAGAGAGGATTGATTTCATAGGCCATGCATTTCCGTGCTGTATTAATGCACCGTAGTTCCAACACTGCCAAGGGAGGACAGGAAATGACATCAATGTAAGACCCAATACTCTATAAACAATAGATTAATAAATAAATGAATTCAAGAAGAAAAAATGTGTATGGGTGTGTATGTTTTTCACCGTATCTTGTCCTCATGTCACTTTCTTCCCTCCTTGGTATTACACGGACCTAGGATTCGTAAAGGGGAACACAACCAGTATCCTCTCTCCCATATGTTTTATATGATTGAAGGATCCTAGGAAGTATTTGTCCCTGAGTGCGCTGTTCCGCTGCTGTGTTGAGCAGTCAGCGTTACGTAGCACAAACATTTCTCGATGTGCTCAGTCTTCGTGACATTCCTCGAGGATCCGTTATAATCAGGCTCTAAAATTATCACCCCTTATACGCGAGAGAGGCGTAGGATATATTCAAGGACTTTAGTAACAAAGAAACTACAACAGCCATAATATATATCTATTCATATATTATATATAAAAAAAAAAATCACGACTAGAGTGAAAGAAAGAAAGAAAATATATTTCCAACCCGTACACCAACGAAGAGTCTATTTATACACTCCTACCTGCTGGTAACGCGGGCCGACCCCTGCTACCTCCGCCACCCCCGCTACCGCCGCCGCCGCCGCCGCCGCTGCCGCATCCGTACCGGCAGACACGTGGCCACTCGGCGGCGGATATAGCGTGGGCCCGATAGCGGCAGCACAGCGGAAGGGCACCCGAGGATCAGGATGCGGCTGGGAGGAGGAGGAGGAGGAGGAGGAGGGAGGAGACCATCCTACGCCTGTCGGAGGTCCGGCGCGCTTCCTCAGCGTGTCGTACAGAGTCTACGGAATGGCGGACGTTCGCTTGGTTAATTAGGATTAAACCTTTGCAGAGGAAACACAGGAAAGTGTACATACGTGTAAACACAAACACGTGCAAACAATGAAGAGTTTGTATGCATTATATCTGCATACATTATATAAATTACACACACACACACACATACAGAGAGAGAGAGAGAGAGAGAGAGAGAGAGAGAGAGAGAGAGAGAGAGAGAGAGAGAGAGAGAGAGAGAGAGAGAGAGAGAGAGAGAGAGAGAGAGAGAGAGCATTCATTATACTTATGTGTTATCATGTGTATGGATGCTTGGTAGAAGAACATACGTCAATGTAAATTATACAAAAAAAGTAAAAATAAAAGGCAGAAATGCTTTAAAAATGTCTTATCCCACCTCCCCATCCACATCTCTGGCATCGCTGTCCAACTCCCTACCCCTGTGCACCCCCCCTCCCCCCTCATCCCACACATACCGACCTGCAGCCGCTGGTACTGCCTAGTCTTTTCTGCCAGCCTCTCGTTGATGACCTCTCGCTGCTCCTTGCACTTCTCGTGGTCGCGGCGAGCTCCTGAAGCAAAACATTTATTTCGGTCTGACATATGCTTCAATGATTCCCTTCAATTACTTGGATAGACACATGTGCATATGGATGTACACATACACATATATGTAGAGGAATTTACACACACACACACACACACCTACACACCGACGCTCCCAAACCTAAGCACAGAACACACAATAGTAAACATTTAACCAGTACTCTCTCACTCCCCCATACAGATGCTCACGCACACACAGACACAGACGGACACAAACACATACAAACTCGCGCGCGTTTCCGAACACCCCAACCATATATCCCTAATGCTCTCCCTAATCCCCTACACGCACACACCTTCCAGCTGCCTCCTGACTGCTGCCAGCTGATCATCTCTGCCCCTCACCACCTGTTCGTAATAGCTCTGTATCTCCTGCAACCTTTCTCTCAGTCTTTTGACCACGTGCTGCTGGTACGTCCGCTCCTGGTTTATCTGGCGAGCAAAAGAGAGAATGTTGTTGTTGCTATTTTTTCACATTATTCCTATTATTGTGTTGTATTGTTATTGTTTGCTTATGATTATTTTCATTTTATTATTATTTATTATTAATGCTGTTATCACTATTACTACTCCCATTATTATGATCACATTTATCATCAACATCATCCTCACTACTATTATGATTTGAAAATATTTTATTATCATTACACCAGCATTATTAACATAAGGACTATTATTTTTGTCATAGTCAGGCTTATTAATCAATACCACTTACATTATCGTTAATTTTATCATCACTTTACCCGGCATGACAATCACTTCCGTCAAGATAATGGGAATATTAAATCAATCATGACATTATAAAGAAAAATGCACATTAAAAAGAATATCAGAACTACTACTGCTACTACTAATTGATAACAGTAATAAAGAGTGACAATAAATAGTAATAATAATAATAATAATAAATGAATAAACAAATAATAAAAAATAATGATAATGATGATGATAATAATAATCTGTTTACACGAACCTGGTAAGTCCAGAACGCCAGCCCGCGATGACACACTTCCATGATAACTTCGGGTTGCAGGCCGGCCAGGATCATCTGGGGAATGGCCATGAGTCAGGGGGATAAGCTCGGATGTGGGGCGGTGGTACAGAATGCGTGTGAGGGGGGGGGGGGAGATGTGAGGGGGGAGAGGAAGGAGGGGGGGGGGTTGTGTATGTGGGGGATATTTATGTGTGTTTATTTTTGTGCATGACCATTTATCTATGAATTTCTGTCTCTCAAAGTATCTCTTTGCTGTCGGTGTCTGTGCCTCTTTCTTTATATCTATTTTCGTCAACTCCCCTCATTTTCTCTCTCTCTCTCTCTCTCTCTCTCTCTCTCTCTCTCTCTCTCCGCCTCACCCCCTGCCCCCTTTTTCCTCTACCTTTGCCCTTCTCCCACTTGCCTCTCCTCTCTTCACTCTCTCTCCCAACCCTCGCCTTCTTCCATCCCTCCCATTTCTCCCTCCTCTCCTCTCCATCTCTCTCTCAGCCACGCCACCCCTCCTCGCTCCCTCGCCTTCCCCTCCACCCCCCCCCCCCCTCCTTCATATTATCTCCCTCACTCACAGACTTGAACTGCTCCGTCGGGTCGAGTTCAACACGCAGAATGTCGCTTTGCAGGGTCAGCTTGGCACCACACGCTGGGCACTCGCATGGAGTCTGAGAGGGAAAGGAGAGCAATGGAGTTATTATGACTTTGCGGTGGT